TCCCCCAACCCTATGGGTCTTTACAGCCTGTCACAGGGATGGCTCTACCTTTAACTTTACCATTGTTATCTTCCTATCTGTTTAATACTACATAAGCCTTGCAGTTAAAGCAGCATTATTAAAGGAAGTAAGAATCAGTCAGTCAGTCCTGCATGGATACATGTAGTTGAAGAGTGTTTTCTTGTGGGATATGATGTAGTATAGTCTGGTAGAAATTTTCAGTGTTTTTGGAGAAACATATTGCCTTCATCATCAGGGTGGAAGCGTAAGCCAGGCAATGCTGCTTGCTGCTTGCGTACTTTGCTTACTCCTCAACACAGAAGCAGCAGGCAAAGTGCTTATTTCTTTCATGATTACTCTTTTACCCTGAAGATGGAGGCAATGCATTTCTCCAAAGCATCAGTAAAGTTCTACCAGACTAAAGGTTGTCACATCCCAGGCCATAGTACTCTTCATAGTTAGGTCCAAATAATCTCCTTAACACTTTGTTCCCAAACACACTCAATGTACAAGGATGTTCTTCCTTTATAATGTGACTGATTTCACAGTCATACAAAGCAAAAGGTAAAATTACAGTTTTATGTATTTTATTTAATCTTAGATGTTTAGAAAGGAGATGGGAAAATTAATGATTCTGAATTAAATGGTTAAATTTTATGTTTTGGATTCTAAATGAAGTTGTTTTCATTGCAGGGAGGACGTATCAGTTGCATCAGTTGACCACACTGCGGTTACAGTCATGTCTTTCCTTCATGCAGCTGCAAGGTGCTTCCCAGCTGATAATGATCAGGCATCCATTTCATCAACTGTACTTAAACTTTGTTTAATATTCCTCAACTGTATGTCCTCTAAGATTGCTACTAGGGAACACAAGCTAACAGCTGTTTGTCTGTATGCAGAAAATTTGAAAGGTCTGCTGAATGTTAACATCAAACATTTACAGACAAAATATCTGCTTGATGAAAACCACCAGAGTACTGGGAAATCATGCATTGATGGAGAAGATGCAGTTGAATCAGAGGAGGAAATTGTTCAGTATATAATATTATTAATTTTCTCAGTCACACTAATTTCAAAGTTACCTGGAAGTTTGAACCAAAGGGACGAAGAGGAGATAAAGGTTGATTCAGAGCAAGAAGATTTTAAGGGGAAAATATCATTCAGTGATGTTTGTCTGTTGGAGGATCACCTTCTGACAGCTCTTTATTCCATAGCAGTGTGTGAGTCCTTCATCAGACATTACAAGAGTGTGAGTCTTTTGATATAGTATTCAGTCTCTTTCTCAAGGATATTTACTACTTAAAAGTTTGTATTGTCGTAACTTCTTTCTCATAAGTTATGCTTTTTAAGTTCCATAGTACATGCAAAATGCTGACTTGTACAGACTTATGTTGTACCTAATTCATTTTAGGTTTGAAGTTCAGTATTTATTTCAGGTTTGTTAAATGATCCATAAACTATATAAAAGTATCAGTTATGATATGAATTTGATTCAAGATCAACATGACATCAAAGCACATGGAGGAGGATCATCATACCTAAATGCCTTTCTCATTCTGGTTTCTAGCCAGTTTTAAGAAACATAGGATTAGTTCCTTATCTAATGTGAATACTGACATTAAGGAGGGATTGAGGGAGGAGGAATGATCAGGGGACCTATGGTAATATTTACACTTGATATACCATAACCATTATGTCAGCAATATTACGAAAATAGCCTGATTTTCTTGACACTGACTTCAGTGTGTGAGTTAAGAACAAATGTTGTTTGCTCATAACTAAAACAGTCTCATAGCTATTGCTGTTACTTGTGACTCCTTGATTTATGTAGTAAAAGAAAAGTAAAAGTAAGTAAAGCTATCCGTGTACCAGGTTGTGAAGGCCTATAGGGTTGTGAGACGTTGAGGCTCCCACATTATCTAGACAATTGGCTCAAAGATGGTGGTAAGGTTGTCAGCCTTTCACGTTGGCTGCACCTTACTCCCCAGGAAACTTATTTAATTAATTCTTGGTACTCGTTTCTGTTAGAGGCTGAGAGAACGCCAGGGCCATAATGCGGCTGGAAGGATTAGGTCAATTGAAAATATTCCAATAACCTCATCGGGACTTGAACCTGTGACCTTACAGCTTGTAGCATAGCCCCTCAACCAACTATGCTACCGCGTGCCCCTGATTTATATGCATCCAAACTGGAATTAGTGCCTGCAAGTAATTCCTTTGTCACTTTTACACATATACCACCAAGCCTTTTCTTAAGAAACAAGTACCTTTGCATGTCAGTACTTTTCCACTAACATGTCATCTAGGTGGGAAATATTGAAAGATGCAGATCCATAAAATGTGCCATATCTGTTCTTGATAATAATTAAGAAGTACCGTAAGGGTGAAAATAGAAAAAAAGTGTTTGAGAAAAGGAAAATTGTAAGGAGTATAAAGAAAATTACATAATGAGGAGCTTTTTAATTTGTACACTTCAGCGAATGTTTGAAACTTAAATAAATGAGGTGTGACAATGTTGGCAGGTTAAACTCTCAAGGTAGGGTCCAGTGGCAGGCGCTTGTGAAGATGGTAATAAGCAATGAACCGTTGGGTTCAGTATAGCCAGACTGTTTCTTGACAGCTGAATGACACTCAGCTTTTAAAAGAGAAATCTACTTCTTGGAATTCCAGATAATGCAATATAAAGTATGAAATAAGTGAAGAATTTTCTAAGTTTACTTAAAATGTCACTTTTTTATCCTTTTCCTTTTTTCAGTCCGTGTATTACTACAAGATATTTTCAAAGTATGATATTTTAAACGAACGATTTAAACTCCTGATGCTTACTTTTGATGAGAAGGAAATGAAATACATCACTCATATCGCTGCAAAAAGGTATGTTTACAAGTCTCTCT